CCGACCGCTACACCAAGGCGGTGCGGACTCGAAGCATATATCGCTGAATGCAAGAGCAATTGGTGACCCCCCCCCCCCCCATAGCCACAAGTGAACAATGCCGAAGGTTGGGCAGTCGGTGCCACCGTTGGGCCCAACCGTTCCGCGCTGGCCGCAACGACCAGTGGACTCCAGCAGGTCGTGAATTCGCCGTGTGTCGTATGGGTGCCTACGCACGCGTGTAGAACTTCTTTTGCGCCGTACCTGGCCGACCGTGTTCAATCGGACGGGGTGCGGGGAGGTGGAAGAGGGACAACGAGCTGAACACAAAAAAGCTAATTCTAAAAAGAAAATTATTTTCGACAATCGCGCACGAAGGCGTTCGATCGTCAACCGCGGAACCCGGGATTTCAGCAGCGCCGGCAAAATAAGTGTCCGTTTTACAGAAAAATAATAAGCAATTCTCCAGAGGCGTGAATCGACTAACAGAAAAACTTAAACCGATAGTGGTGGGTTGCATAATGGGTCTTACGCAATATTTAACCTCAGCAATACTCTGCATTCGTCAATAAAGTAACACAGAAGAGGGAACGTATCGGGAAATAGCGATTCTTCGGAGCACCTAACCATCTTATGAGTTTGTTGTTATTTGCACGGCAGCCAACGCAGCATCACCAAATCATGCTTCATTTTCCCTGCCTTTTCATTGGAAATCAGATGAAACTAAGGGGGACATTTTATGCAAGTGGCCACAAGTCATGCGTTGGAGGACGGGGGCTAAGGGTAGGATTCGGCTCGGCCACCAATGGAGAAGATTAGGAATTATTTATTCGATCAGGAATCAGGAATCATGAAACGCCCCCAATGTTCTTTTGAGCGGGGAAATCCTCAGACTACTTTACATGTCAATAATACATGCAATTCTTAACACCAACAGCAAATGCGAAGTTTCAAAATAATCTCTTTGGCAAGTGAAAAAAAACTCATCAACCGGCATGTGATCTTCATGGGAACTCCACTGGGACAACACTCTGACAATTCCATCTCTAATAGACCTTCAATATCGCCTGACCGTAACAAAAACACACGGCATCTCACGCTCTCATCAGGAGCTTGACTTTTCAAAAATGCTCAACTTTCTGAGCCTGCTTTACAGTTCATCAAAAACCCTTCGCTCACATTCCGGGACAATCTATGGGTATATCCATCCCGCCTTCCGCAAAGTCTTCTCAAGAACCGATCGCCGACACTCTCACACTGGCACAACGACCTCCATTCTCTCCAGAGCTCAACCCTGTCGCGCGTGGATTTAGTAAGAATTAAAAAAAATTCTTAAAATGGAGTTAATAATGTTTAATAATCTTTAACAGCGGTCAGATGTTTCAATTTAAAGCTTTCGTGACTGCAGGGATTCATCTTCTTGGTTCTTTCGGTAAAGTCACGTAGAAATAATAAAATAAGAAATAAAACACATTTTTAATTTTTATTATTTTATTATTTCTACGTGACTTTACCGAAAGAACGAATAAGATGAGCGGTCAGATGTCTTGTGATCCCCATGTCATCGATTCAGCAACCACTGCGCATTGCTCCGCTCGCTTAGGTCTCCCAGGCCTCGATGATTTCGTCCAAAAATTGATCCTGTGCAAAACAGCTTCATTCTTTTCGAGCATCATTCACCGTTTTTTTCTGGTTTGTCATTTTTCATGGGTCCATACGCCTCCGCTACGAGCCGTTCGTCAAGAGTATATGACCACGTATCAGCCATCTGAAATAAATAAGGTTTATTTAAAATAGAAATGAATATACTAAGAAAAAAATGTTAGGGGGTCAATTAATTGGGGGTCACAAGACATCTGGACTACCCTGTACATTAGGGGAGATGTTAACGACCTCACCTGGTATGCAGGAGGACGTGGGGTTCGGCCCCATCCCTGACGCCTGCTGTATATTTGGAATCTGCATGTTCTCGCTGTGGTCACGTGCATTTTTCTCCGGGTCCTCCGGTTTTTCCCCTCCACATTTAGGAACACGTGCTTTAGAGGATTTGGCTGCTATACATTTCCACCTGCTAAGCGACTTCGTTGAGCTATCATTTGTGGCCAGGTCGCTTCTGAAAAAGAGCTGTATAGCTCAGTGGGCCTTACCTGGTCAAATAAAAAAAAGTTACGTTTTAAAGATTTAGTTTGCATTATGGTAGTGCACCATAGTGGGCATGCTTCGTGAGAGGGTTAATGAAAGAACCTTAACATGATTGGTGATTTTCTTTGCTCACGTGACCAGGAACAATGTGAATTCTGATCCAACCTACCTCACCATATGCACCACTGCTTTGACAGTGAATCGCACCTGTGTGGCTGGGTTGTTTAAAACACATTCACTGCTTACTCTGCGCGATTTAAATGAGAAACGAACAATAGTTTTACGAATTTATCTTCCATTTACTTATTTATAGATTCCAATGACCAATCGACCGACCGACACACCCCTGGGCTTACGAACCACGCCCGCACCTCCACCGCGGTAGCTCTAAGACACAACAACGCGGCCGCTGACTTTGCGAGATTGCAATATTCGTTAAAGTTTTCCACCAGGGATGCTCCGATGCTCGACCAGGACTCTAGGTGGACCGCACGGTGTGAGCCAGCGGCGTTGCGTGGCCGGACACTGCACGTGTTCTCCGCGACGATTCATCCCCCCACCTCGCCACCCCCTCCCCTTCTTCCTCAAGTTACTAAAATGTGACAATTCCAGATTGCGAACCTAATTCGCGAAGCTATCCTGTTATTTTTTTCTACGCTGCAAATGAGGACTATTCCTTTGGAAGCATCACCCAGGATATAATTTTTTCCTTTTAAGGCCACACACGGTTGTTGTTATTATTGACGAATGTGTCGAGTTCATCGTTGTTATCCATGCTTGTGCACCAGGGCCAACGCAGCAGCAGCACCAAATAAATTATTTTACTTATTTCATGTTTCGTTTACTCATCTCGCACAGCCGCGGCGAGACAATTTGCCGCCCGGGTCAACCACGGTGCCATCCTCGCCCCCTCCGTGCCCGCCCGGCCGCTGTCGCGCTGCCGGCACCGCCCCACCGAGGATCGGGAGCCACGAAGAAGCGCCCACCGCTGCTCGCTTCGTTCCCAACAATCCGGCTTCCCCGCCCACCGCGCCCTGCCCAGGGCACAGCGCAGCCCTCGCGGGTGCATCGTTTGTATCGTTTCGTGCGAGTGTTTTTTTACGACACGTCACTTGATTAGAATTTGTATGAAAGTGGACATAATCGATGCTCACCAAAGGGCACGGTTAGAGGCATGGATCATTGAGTGCAGGAAAATAAGATTTTCATCGATTAATCGAAGCGTCGTTACATTGCTATTGCGACACGCCTGAAGAGAAACGTCACCACGACAAGCGGCCGTAACACACATTCGACAACAAAGCTCACTTTGACACGTAGGCTTTCGCGACCAATATTATGAATGATGAAGGTTTTTGGGTTGGATCGCGTAAGTACGTCTCAGGGAGCTGAAGGCAGCGTGCATCACATCAGGCGACACTTGCCTGGCAAGTCCACCGCTGACCAAGACGAGAGGCTTACGACCACCACTCGCCGCGATAGGCCGTGTTTGACAAGAAACGCGATAGGCCAAGTCTCCCAAGACTGCATTGCTTCTTCACGCTGACGCAGGGCCACACAAATCCTCCGATTATATATATACACACACACTTACATTATTTACTTTTACATGGAATTATATTTCTGTATTGTGGTCTACAATTTGGGGGGAGTCTTCTCCTTTGCATCCATCAGTCAACGCGTTTCATCGCTCAGATGCTCACGGTCCTGTTCAGAGCCCCGGCTGAGCCAGTGGTGGAAATTCCACATTCCTACTACGGTGGAGGCGAGAGTGCATCCGCGGGACAACCACCGTTGACTCGCCCCGTGTATTTTATCGACTCCACCCCCGTGAGGTACGATGGGCAGAATCAACCTCCGGCAAGTTAGGATTCGAACTCGCAGCGTGCTCACCGCACGCCGTTCCGCTCCGCCGCTGAGCCACGTTGAGGACCGATTCAAGCTCGGACTTTCATCAAAATTCGTAAAAGAGGAGTGGGCTGGCGAGTTTATTTGGCTTAAATTAAATAAAAGGGTGACTCCTTTATTAAAATGTGGGGTTAACAAAGCGGGGGGGGGGGGGGGATTTCAATAAAACGGCGGATGATAAACAGTGGAGGATATAATTCAAGATGTCTATAAAATGAAACCGAGACATCAGTGAGGGGGATTTGAAGCTTTTTTTTTAAAGGCCACCTTTGTTTTGGTTGGATGTTGCTCAAAAAAATTGTGGTTGGTGGGAATAGAAAAAATACAACAAAGTCACGTGAGCAGGACGCATTGCTCAGATTCTGGCTTCGAATCCTTGGGCTCCCAAATGGTGGAGAAAGAAAGAAATGAACTATCATCCCAGGCACCAAATTAAATCTACCAAAATACACCATATAATATAAAACTCGGTTTTGCATTGAATGTGGTGAAGCAAAGTTTTTCAAAGTATTCAGCCAAAAACAAACCATCTACACAGGCCCAACAGTGTGCACTCCCAGTGACGACGCAACGACAGACCACCACCAAGGGATGCGAGAGGAAAGCATCTCAACGCATTTCTGGGTCACGGCGCAATGATAAATATCGTCCTGCTGCCAGTGAAGGGCTGCAACAACGTAAATAAATGGAACGCTGAGCCTAGACACACAATGACGGCGCAGTCAAAACACTACTCTATTTAAATAATGCTCTTTATGAAATAAAGCTTCAGGCATTATTTATTTTTTACAAAGAATCCCTGGCTGGGAGTTTTCAGCCAGTTTTTTTTTTTGTATAATTTTTTTTTGCTCGAGAAGATAAAAAAAACCAACCACAGCACCCGGAAAAGAATAATCCCCGCACATACGACGGTACGATAGAAAGAATCAACCTTCTGCAGAAAAAGTCCGATGTAACCGACGCGTCTCGGGCAAAACCAAACCAGGCGGTGAAGTCGAGCGGAACGACCGGAGTACGCCACGCAATGGCCGGCGCGCGGCGGCGTCACTGCGCGGCCAGGCAACGGTTCCGCGAGCAGAACATCGATCGTTTGTGGCGCACACCGCGAGGCTCAGGCCTTGTTCTTGCGTTGCGGGGAAGCAGTGGGAGGTCCAGCGCCGCCGCTGCCGCCGCCGCCGCTGCTGCTCTTGCTGACTTGACGCACGCTGCTCGTGATGCTGTGGAGGACGCGCATCGCCTTCTGTCCTTGCCGGGGAGTCGATGGCTGGGAAGTCGGCTCGGCCGTCCCCGGCACCGACGACGCCGACGACGCCGACTTGCCGTTCTGCGGGAGTCACGGCAACAAACAATAAAAACCGGAACGTTCAAGTTCCGTGCAACGATCCGACGTCGCGCATTTGCCCTGGCCCCGCAAAGGTCGCACTCGTTACACACAAAGTGCTTGCCGCAAACGAACCACGATACCTTGCTGATCTCGTCAAGGAGCTTAAACCATCACGTGAACTCTGCTCATCCTCGCAGCAAAGGCTTGTGGCTAACCGAACGAACAAAGGCGGTGGTCACCGCATCGCGCGCTTTTAGATGCGCTTCTGCGGCCGTCTGGATCGCTCTTCCTTCCGATCTTAGGAAGCCACCGGAGCTATGTACTTTTAAAGCTACATTGAAAACTAATTTCTTAAGGACTAGTTTTTATGTTAAGTTTGTTGTCCTTCCCCGCATCTCCGACGAGCACAGTTGGCTACGTATGGTGCAGAAGAAGTTCAACGTACGTACATGCACACAAGGCAAATCCTTTTGAGCGCTGGTTGTTTGTCGCCAAGATTTGGGCAACACTTTGATCCATTGCGTCTGGTTAAATCTCTTAAAAGCAACACAACTTTACACGAAAAATGTTGTTAATATCGGATCATCTTTACAGGGGCAATAATTGGCCATCCTCCACTGAGACAGACAAAGCTGACGCATCAACGCCGCCAACCTTTCATTGGAAAGTGTTCAAAGAGTACCTCATGGGGAGTCCGGATGGCTGAGGGGGACTCACAATGGCCGTGCTGTAAGAATGTAACAATTCGACCCCTTCAAGGCGCACATTTATGGGAAGCCACGCCCCCAAATTATTCTCGCAAAAACCAAGAGACGTACCTCGACAACCGAACGAGCAACTTTGGGCAAAAGCGAGCACCAAACACCGGCGTGAAAAGCGCAAAGCGAACCCCTCCCCGCGGCAGAGTGGAGGTGGCGACGAGAGACAGAGAGACGCCGTCACAGAGAGAGAGAAAGAGAACTTCCAAGTCAGAGACCTGCAGCGGCTGCTCGGGAGCGAAGCTGGGTTTTGGCAGCAGAGGAGGTTTGGGCTTAGCGAGCGGCTTGGCGCGAGCGGCCTCGGGGGAAGCGGTGGCCACCATCCCAGCGGCGGGGAACCCCTCGGCGCCGGCGGGCGACTCGCCCTCTCCGTTCCGCCCGGGCCAAGTTACCGGATGCTCCGACTCCGTCGCGCCCTCTGCCCAGCGGGCCCCGTCGTCGTCCGGGCCGTCGTCCGGACCGTCCCCGCGCCCTGCGGCGGCCCCGTTCTCGGGCCTCGGCCGCCCGTCGGCCCCCTCGGCATCCGCGAGCGCCCGTCGGGACAGGCCGCCGCCGTCGACCTGCGCATAGGGGTTCATGCTCGCCAGCGTGCCGTCGCCGTCCCCGTCCGACGTCTCGTCGCCGTCCATCACCAGCTCGAGCGTCTTCTTGCCCGAGCGCGTGCCCGAGCGGAGCGCCGACGTGAGCGCCGCCAGCTGCTTGCGCGGGAACTTGATCTTGAACTTGGATCTCGCGCCCGCGCCGTCCTTGGCGGGCGGCCGGTGCTCGGCGAGGCTCGCCGGTGGCCGGGCGGCGGCGGCGGCGCCATCGCTGGTCATCTCCGCGCTCCCCGGGGCGGGCTTCTCGCGAGGCCTCCTCCGTCTCCTCGTCCCGCTCCTCCGGCGTCGCGGGCGCGGCAACGAGCGGCGACGCCGGCTCCTCCGCGGCCGCGCGGGCCGCCTCCCGCTCGTTGTACTCGAAGCTGCTCGAGTCGTCGTCGTCGTCGTCATCCTCCTCCTCCGTCTCATCCTCCTGGTACTCCTCGAGGTCTTTCTCCTCGAAGATGGTCGACAGCCGCTTGTAGGCCGAGCGGATGTCCATTGGCTCGTCGAAGATGACGAATGAGCGGCTTCTTGTCGCGCAGCGCCACCTCGGGCGCCGGGGCCGCCTCGCCGCTCCCCGCGTCTCCCCCCGATTCCCCCCGCGCGTCTCGACCTGCGCCTCCTCCTTCTCCTCCTCCTCCTCCGCCGTCGTCATCGCCGCCGCCGCCCCCAGCTCCGGGGCTCCCGTCCCCTCCTCCGTCGTTGTCTCCGTCGTCCTCCGGCGGCTTGCGGGTGAAGGTGAAGGTGGTGACGCCGTCGCCGCCGGCGATCGCCGCCGCCTCGTCGTGCGTCACGGCCTGCACGTGGCTCTCGCGGATGAGGAACGCCAACTTCTCCTTGACGGCGCCCGGCGACGGCTCGCCGTCCTCGTCCGTCGACTCCGACGTGATCTCCTCGATGTAGCGGATTGTGATGGTCTTGGGCGCCTGGGCTCGACGGTCCACGACATCCTTCTCCTGGAACACCACCTGGCTGCGCCGCGCGTCCCTGCCACCGCCAGGGGACTTCCGGCCCGCCGCTCCATGGCCCGAAGAGAAGTCGGTGATCTCCTCTTCGAAGGCCACCACCGGTTGAGCGTCTTTGACGCTCGAAGCTCCGCCCTGTGTGAGAAAACACGCCCCAGGCTTTGGTGAGATCATGTTAAAACGTCCGAAATCGAGAATGTTAATATCCATCAACGATTTGAAAGACCTGTACGTGTGGAAGACCCCACCTCGAACGTGCAGTTGCCACTACGTTTTGTATTTCTCTCCGATGTGCTTTCGGGCTTGTACCGCGATATCATGGGACCTTTTTACTAGCTGTACTAGTAACGAATTGGCACGTTCTGTTCACATGACAACCCTTACTAGTTGGCTGTGTCGGGTGGTGATGGGTTTAACGACACTTTTATATCTTTACGCGATCTAACCCAAACAAAACCTCTATTACGGAAGTAAACTGTTGAGTTGCCGTCAGCTACATCCCCACGTACGAATGTCGAACTTGTTTCGTGCCGTACGTAGCCAACCGCGCTAATCGGAGGTGTGGCTGGCGGTGCCAGAGAGAGCGAGGTGCGTTTTCGCAGTCGGCGTCCACGGCACGACAGCCGGGGGCAACGCGCGCCGTGTGGTGGTGCAATAACCCAGGAGGGGGATTACAGCGGCATTTCTCAGAAAGCCTCTCCCTTACCGTCACCTCCACAAACTGCGCTTCACGCGCGCCAAACGGTTTCGAAAATGTGAAGCCCTTCCAAAATGCTGGATCGTAAGCTTGCACCGCTTACAATAACAGCAGCAGCAGCGCCAATGCGGCTAGATCTGCGAGCCGGCCGAGTGGTCAATTTGCCTGCAATCTTTACAATGCTCCTCGACAGAGTTGCGGTGAACGCAGATCGAGGTGATGAGCTCAGAGCCTCCCTTGATCAACAAACGGTGAGGCTTGCAGAGCAAACGGACAGACAAAGGCGAGCGGTGAACGCACACACGTGCACGCGGCTCTCTGCAGTGCGCTTCTCAAGCTGTTGGTATGGCGCCCCCCCCATGGGTGCCTGCACCCCCCCGCCCACACGACAACCCCCACCCACCACCCTACACCGCCCCCCCCCCACCACACGTGTCTGATGTTGCGTAATCGTGTGTTTTGTTACTACACTGAGACTCCGATGTCCTCTGTAGCCATTCACAAGTTCCCTGCATTCTATCCATGTCGTAGCGTGAGCCCCCTCCACCTCTGCCCTCCTCTAAATGCGCACGCAAATTCACTGGGGCCCAGGGGTTGAGAACCGCTGCTTTAATGTGATACTTGAGGTCCCCTCTTGGTCCCCTCTCGGCACACGGCAGCCCCTGGAGTCGGCGTGCAAACGGCCGCCCCCCCCCCGCCGACCGCAGCATCTCGCTGTCGCTGCAGTCCAGCACGGTGGGGTGAGCGCTCGTGTCGAACCACAGCGAGATGGGGGACAACGAGGAACACAACTCAACAACTCGGAAGCACACACTAAAGAACGCAAGCAAGGACTGCAAACGTGAAAAAAACGAATTCATTTTTGGAGCAAAATAAAAAATGTAGACACAATGTGGTGGAAGATTGTGGTTGTGGAAATTATATTTTTTGTTGGTAACCTCAGGTCTCTGGTGTAGAAGAGATGTGTTGGTGTTGTGTTGTCAACACATTTGGCCCTGGTCTCATTTAAATAAATAAAAACATTTTCAAAATCAAACCAAATCAAATTCATTTCGTCACCAATGACAACCTCCAAATGAATAACCCCGAGCTATATAAACCCTAAAGGTGTGTTCATATTATTCACGTATATAGTAATCGCCTTTGACCACATTTATAAACATAGTGAAATAGAAACTCCGCAATGTGCCCAACTTGTGAGAAGCTACATAAAAACATTTAAACAAAACAAGTAACTGTGGAAGGTTAACAGAAAATAATATAATGCAATTGGAAACAAATCCTTGACATCAATGCATGCTTGGCTCCAAAAATGAATCTTGCGTTTGAGAAAATCCGAGTTAGTGTCGACGATCGTTAGGGAGGAGGTTAGCGAGGCGCATTAATTTGCAGAGCCGACAACGGGGGCCACAGCAGCAGGGCATGGAACGGACACTCGCCTGCTCCTCGATGTTGAGGGTAAAGAACTGAGAAGGGAAAGACAGACAGACAGAGAGACAGGCAGACAGAGAGACAGGCAGACAGACATACAGAGGTGACAGCTTGAGATGGGAGACAGAGCAATCAGGACGTCCAAAGGTAAATCCACCGTCGCGTTTGTCACCAATCGCCACTTCGTTGAGTTACCATTTGTGATGGCCAGGCCGCGATCTGAAATAGGAGCTAGACTATAGCTCAGTGGAGCGCCTTAACCGGTAAAATAAAAAAATGGTTTAGTTAAGCTTTCGTCGCGCGTACCAAGTACGGAGGTTTTGTTCGAATCTCCAGAGAGGTGGTGGTGAAGGCCGCGTGGGTCAGGGGTCAGGGGTCGGAGCACTAAGACAGCACGGCGGATGTCCTGGGTTTGAATCCAGGTGTCGCCCGCCCGCAGTTAAACAGGTCGCTTCTGAAAAATGAGTTAATACCTCAGTGGGCTTTACCTGGTAAGATAAAAAAAAATAGTTAAGTTTTATTTGTATCTTATTTTTAAAGTGATTGGTTATCTTTCCTACACTTTGCACTCCTGTCGTGTTTTTGTATTGTTTGTTGTTGTAACGTTCTTACCCGCCACCTTGCTGGACACATCTCTGAAAAGGGAGCTTCACGGCTCAACGGATTCCTCAGTGCCACTGGATATTCATCGACGGAAATACGACTCCACTTACCCGGCTTACTCGCATCGTCGAATCCGAAACATTGATTCTGATAGCGAGGTCCATTTCATGACAGATCCTCGAGCCAGCGTCGAACGCCCCACAAGTGGCTCTCAGTGGGCTACCAGGGGGCCTTTTCACAGCGGGGCCCCCATCTCTTACGTAGCAACTCCAAAACAACACGACGCACTGGCTTAATGCAGACTTGATGCCTCGTAAATAGGTGTCTATTTGGCGGTTGAACGTCTGAACACCTGTACTGTATTCATGCCAAAATGGGTAAAAAGACATTTTTACGTTTGGTTATCATTTCGATACCGGCACAAGGGTAGTGCATAGCTATACGTGACGCATGTTGTATTAATATACAATGCTGCCACACCGCAGCATTCGGAGAACAACACCCCGAACATCCGTGGGTAATGAAACCACGCCGTTAATACATTCCCGATAGAAACGATATCGCAAACAGCGGGTAAAACAGGAATGCTTTAAATTGGCAGCTGCTATTGGTGAATTTTCACAAAGCTGTGTCACCATGCTTCAGGGAAGTTGTCCTCAACACTGTCAATCTACTGCTGGATGAGGGCCTTCTCACGCTGAACTCATCCATCACGGCCTTGCGATTCCACAATCCATCTCTCGTGGTCTTGCCATCCCACGATCCATCCCTTTCCTTCACGGGTTAATTTCACTGCTCCATCTCCACAGAGGTTGCCCTCTCGGGTGCATTCTCCATCACCAATCTCATCGTTGCTTCTTAAGCGACGTCGCAGCCTGTCCAGGAACCCTTCACCTCTCCTCAACCCTCAATATGAGGCCTCCGATTTTCCATCTGTTATCTGATGCACGTGGTCCTCTCTCTCACTGTCTCTCGGTGCGATTCCAATCGCTCCTATTTTTAAATCCTTTATATTAAGTTCACTTGCTTGCTTGCGCGCTTACGGACCGTGCAAATCTTTCGGTCGTTTTTTAACCCAATTCCCGTGATCCAATCGAGCTGACATTTTGCACACAGACTCGTTGTGCGTGACAATTTATTTTCGTGAAATTTTTTTCCATAACTTTACACTTTTTGGGAAAACATTTTTTATATTTAATTACCAATTGCTTAATGGTGGCAGGCAATCATCTGACCCATAGGTGGCAGCCATCTCAAGCCAGAGGACGAGAGGACTCTAGCCGCCACGCATATAAAGGATTTATAGTGAAAAACTTTGTTTTTACGGGTTAATTTTTTCATCTTTAGGTTCTGTTGCGTAAGCCCAAGAAAAACAGGGTCCTGGAAAGTGGTGCAATTGAGGGTCTCTCAAGCCTCAACTCAGCTGTCAGTTGAGACAAAACAACTCCCCCAACTCTCCCCATTCTCTAAATTACTATTTGGACGAGATTTGCGCGCCACACCCAGGCCGTGAGCATTCCAACGTGACATCAGAGGCGGAAAGATTCTCATGACATCAAAGAAAAGCATTCTCCTGCACGTTTAGAAAACATTCGGCAAGGGCAGGTAAGAGTTCAGCGAGGAGGCGCCAATGGGCGGTGTTCGCCCCAACCTGTCAAACTGGGAGCCGTTTTTGCTCGGAGCAAAATTTCCTTGGATTGACTCAACAGGCGTCAGAGATGATGAATGAGAGCACTGCTCCTCCATGCTCGCCCGAATGGAGCAACACTCTTGATTAAGTGTTGTCACAATGCGATTGTTAAAATCTGCAGACCATGGCCTGGCGAGAACGTGTATGCCTCCAATTACCACAATCTAAAAATGATTCGCATTTTTTTTTATCAAGGTGGCTTGTATTACACATGTGGCCTTGAAATTGAGTTACAAGCCAGCTCTGGTCAATTCACTGCTGAATGACGGCCTTCCCAACCATCGCACCACACAACAAAACTGACCAAATTACAGATTGCTTCGTTACTTTTTATGTTCAGACGTTCCAAACCGCTCCAACGTGCTCCCCTCAGCCTCTGTATTCCATCGTTCAGAATCCGGTCCGCTTTCAACAGCTGCAATGGGTTCACATACTCTGCTGCGTTTTCCCAGTTGTGACCCTCCGACAGATGTCTTTAATCATTCAGTTACAAGGCCACCGACTGATCGTGATTTTGTGGCCTCACATCCCCATGGCTTAAGAGAAAAGGAGAAATTTGTACCTTTTTAATTATTATTCCATTTCCCAGCCTTGGCTTAGACAAAAATTCCATCGGCTCCCAGCACGCGCTCGCATCGCACGGCTATTTCTGGCAATGCCGGTGGGAGATCAAGCACCCTCTGCCACTGGCGTGTAATACTCATCGAAGGCTGCATTAACCGGGCACCCGAGGGCCGGGCTGAAGATATAACGGTGCATTAATGCACAGCGTCGCCTCTCTCTCTCCCTCTCGGAGCCTCCGAGAGATAATAATCTGGTCTCTGGGTAGACACGCGATGTGACGACGCACCCGCAGTGCGTGATCCATTGAGGACTCCGGCGAGGGGGGGGGGGGGGGGGGAGCGCGTTGTCCGTGCCAGGCTCCGGGTCGTGTTCCTCATGGGCTTGCTGGAGTTAATTTTACGCTATTTTATTGTACTCTGGTATCCTTTGCCATGGGATTTTCATATACATTTTATTAGCATTATTGTTATTAAATAAGAGCTCAATACAGAATAGGACAATGGGAGAGGAAGAGTTACAAGCAACTTTGCAAGCGACAAACCGGGGGTCAGGTGCCCCTCGGGGTAGGGACCAGGAAACGTTGCCTGGGGTCACCGCCCTCCTCACGTGGGGTAGGGGGGGGGGGCAATGATCGGGAGTGGTTATTACTGTTGTTGTTACTAAAACGAAACTATTTTTTAAATTTTACCACGTAAGGCCCACTGAGCTCTCTAGCTCTTTTTTCAGAAGTGACGTGGCGATCACAAATTATATCGCTCAACCAAGCGGCTCATCATCAATACGTGGGAATCTACAGCAGCCAAATACCCAGGAAAGTCTCACCGAGTCCCAAGACTCGCACTTTCAAGCGGGCCCTGCGCTCCACCTTCCCAGCAGTGGGGAACGACGTTGCTGCTGCTGCTGCCTGTTGCTGCTGCTGTCTGATGCTGCTTGCTGCTACTTGCTGCTACTTGCTGCTGCTATTGCTGCTGCTACTGCTGCTCCTACTGCGTATATTCTGAACGAGTAATTTGCAGGTGCGTTTATTTAGCATTGGGATGTTGGGCCAATGCAAAGTTACAATGTATGGGTTCGAACAGAAAAATAGAAACCTTTTGCAAGGAATCAGGTCTGCATTAACCACACGTACTTGTGGTGAACAGGCAAACAAACATGCTCTGATAACATCTAAAACCTATTATTTTTTTCCATTATTTTGGTCCTGGAAAAAAGGTCCCATAGATATAATGTATGGGTTGTTGTTTTTATCTATGTAAGGAAACCGTAGGAGACCCATGCAGAACATGGTGAGAAACTTATAGACTCCACACAGCGAGGCAACCCGAGCCAGGAATCGAGCCCAGGCCCCTCTTGCTGTGAGGCACGAGTGTGAGACCACCGTCCACACCGTGCCACCCGTAGAATTGCTGATCATTGATTTGCGACCTTGGCGAGTGACGTTTACGTTCGAGTCCCCCCCCCCCACCCCCACAATAATAGATGTTGCACTCCACTTGATTCTCACCTGACACTCAACAAAGGAATGCATTCGCTCACTCACCCATCCGTTCATGCAGCTACAGTGGTGGAGCATGTGGTGTGGCATGGGCCCCCCAGGTGCTAGTGTAAAGTAGTCACTTGGCGGGAGACGACTTTGACGGGTAGCACACCTTTTTATTAACACCAAACTGTTACACGGGTGGCAACTGCCACGTAACCCACGAGGTTCCCCCGAGCTATACCCACACGGGCTCTCACGCCCCGTAGCTTCTTGGAACACACCCGGCTGGGTTATTAGTCTCGACTCTGGGCCCACAAGCTGGTTCCACACGGACCCCAGGCCCCGGGTCCCACAGCCTCTGAGCCGCACAGGGTCCCGGCCCTTACAAGGACAGCGGGGCTAGGGGTCTCAGGGCCCTATCTCTTCAACTCCGTCTTCGATCTTCAGCTGGTAGTAATCCCCCCGAGTGCTCTCGCGCGTCCCCCTTTATAGTCCTCCATGCGGACGTCGCTGAGAGCACCCACCCAAGTTGACCAATCACCCAGCGCTCTCTCTACGATCCTCTTTCCCATATCGTGTCTGCGTGCACAACCACGCACCCAGCGCCGCCCCGTGATCCATCACTGTCAGTGTGCGTCAACACGCCCCACACTCGATGTAGCCACGCCCGGCGCGCGCACACCCACGCCCCCACCTTGTCGGCGCGCACCGCCACTACACTAGGAACAAAATGGGCCCCCCTCCATCCCCACCCCCGTGTCTGCAGCATGCACCTTCTGGGCCCCTCCGCCCCCATAGGACCCCTCTCTGCGGTTGCACAGTCTGCACACTCGCGTAGCTACGGCAACGGATTTCAGAGCGGGATGGCCGACTGGCTGACTGACTGGCTAACCGACTGGCTTGACTGACTGGCCGACTGGCTGACTAACTGGCTGACTGACTGGCTGACTGACCGTGCGGAGAAATGACCGCTGCTCGCTCGTTGCCGGTTTCACGGACGGCGACGAAGAGCGTCTCAACTGACGTACGCTAGGGGACGAGAAACACGCCTCCATGAATAACACGTGGCTTAGAAAACGCCAGTGAAAGATGGAATTAGCACAACCCTGCGATTAATATCGAAAAATATTTACCCTGGACGGGCTCATGTTTTGAAGAGGGCTCTACGAGGGACGTTTGGCTAATTCTGTTCTGAATTTTATTTTTGCCTGTGGGAGGAAAGCAGATGACTCCGAGAAAACACGCCCGATAAGAATAGTTTAAGAATTTGGCACAGATAGGCCCTCCGAGGATCCCACTTGCTGGACTGCCTCCGGCGAGCAGCGCGTTTGCCCTGCAGGAAAACGTGTTGGCTACAACACAGCTGCATCGCTGCAATGTTCTGCCTACCCCGGCTGAACACAGCGTGAGCATTACCAGTGCACCCGCAACGTTAGCATTCCTCATGCAGTTTCTGATCTACACCGAATGCCGTGCCAACTTGGGAGTAATTTCTCCCACGGGACATTCATTATCACTACAGTAAAGGTGCAGCCTTGCAATTGCTTACTAATGCCACTCCTGACAGAAGGGCCTTCCACCAGAGGGAGCTAAAGACGACCGCTCCCCAGAAGGCACTTGGCCTACTCTTCGACGCTAGGCATACGTCTCGGAAGCAGTGGCAGTGCCCGCAAACAGACACTGGACAAACTGTGGCGTTTTTTATACCGCTGGGAGCATCAAGGCGGGGGGGGGGGGGGGGGAGAATAAATAAACACTCTCATTTGCTTCAACCACTGCGCCGGGAGATTGAATCGAACCAGTGACCTCTGGATTATCCAAAGCGTGCAGACCCGTTGCACCACAGCAGCACAGAAGAGTGGATAATTTGTAATGGTCTGAATAATCAGGGCAGACTCGGCTTTCACCTCTCAGCAGCTCTGCATATCCACCCTCCGTTCTACGCACGTGTGCACGTACGTAGCCGACCGTGCCAGTCGGAGATGTATTTTAGTACCTGCACTTCGATGGTCATGTGACTTGTTTGACCGTCGTCCTCCGGTTTGGAGCTGGAGCCAGGAGGAGGCGGGGTCTGGCTGTCCTCCTCTTCCGATTGGTTGGCCCGCGTGTCCACTGCCAACTTGTTGGCCTGCATTATTGTCGCGCGAAAAAATTTCAACAAAGAACAAACACGCGCTCAAAACGCCGTTCTCTCTTTGACCTTCGCTTGGGCCTTCAAAGTGCTCTTAACTTACGAAAAAAAAATACATCAACCAAACCGTGGGATTCCTCGGTTTGACCAAAGTTGTTGCCCTACGAAGCCATCTGCTAATGACGGGGGATGGTGGGAAAAGTAACGATTAGACAAGCAGAGTAAAATAAACACTTCTACAAGTGCCTACACGCACGCCACAGCCGCCCGACCTCGTCACATCTCGGGGGCGGCCGAACAGGCCTCGGCCGACACAGCGCTCGGCCTACACAGCGCTCGGCCTACACAGCGCTCGGCCTACACAGCGCTCGGCCTACACAGCGCTCGGACGGGCGACTGCCACGCACGAACGGCTCGTCTCCCCTCACCTTGCGGTTCATGAAGAGGACCTCGGCTGGCGTGGTCCTCACGAACTTGAAGCCTTTGCCGGTGCGTGGCGGTGGGGGCGGGGGGCTCATGGTGGGGGGTGGGGGGATATCCGCGTCCTCTGCCTGCTCCGTGGCCTCCGCCGACACCGCCCCGCGGAGGGCGGACGAGCGGGACGCCCGCCCCGTCGCTGCTCGCGAGCGATGAGCACGGAGAACGGAGCGTGGAGAATAGAGCATGGAGCATTGAGCACGGAAAATGGAAAATGTAGCACGGAGCATGGGGAGCGGAGGATGGAGCACAGAGGGGAAAGCGGGGCAGAGAAACAGCACAATGTGGGCGTCAGTTACAAGGATGCAGACGGCCGCGATAACGACGTTACCCTGTTATCTGCTGCCCTGTTATCCGCGAGCGTGGAGTGGTGGCTCTGCGGTTGGTGCGCTGCATCGCAAACCCCTCTGCCGACACGCACTGACCAACGTGGTGAAGTATAGTCAGGCAACCACCGGCTCTGATACGGCGCAAGGAGCCCGCCATCCAGCAGTGGATTGACGAGGGCGGGGAGTTTCACAACATTCGTCCGACGATCCACTAACCCTCGCTGCCTCCACAGCACTGGACTACAGCGCACGTGCAGAGTAGCCACCACCGCCCGTTTAATCTGTTCACTTGTGGTCCCAAATAAACAGGCTATTGTTATTTAACACCATCATCGGCAGCGTCGTCGTCGTTAATATCACAAACTTGGTGACTCCTTGCTGATCTCGTTTTAGCTTGCTGATCTCATCAAGGAGCACAAACCATCACGCAAACTCCGGTTGTCCTCGCAGCAGCAGCTTTCAGCTCGCCATCGAACAACGATGGTGGTTCGATGGTGGGTCGCCGGGTTCGTAGCGCAGTCCATCTCTTCTCTAGCCCATGCCGTGCACGTTTAGCCCCCTCAATCCGGCCGAACAAAAGCTGTTTAGGCATGCGGTGGCTGGGCATGCGGGCTACATGACCCAGCCAACGCAGCCTTGCCTGCCGGAGGAGCTCACCGATGGGATTTTGTCCAGATCTTTCAAAGATTTGTGAGCTCCTCACACAATCCAGCCTGGTTAAACCCAGGATGGATCGTAGTCAGGCCGGCCCAAATGTTTCTAACCGTCGAAGATGTTCCATGCATACACACACATCTACATACACACGACTCAGCGGCGATCGATCGGCGCGGGGGCGGTTTTCTCACCGGTCGTCTTGCCGCTGGTTTCGCGCGACGGCGCGTCGAGATCTTTGGCGAAGCTCACGCGCCGATTGCCGGTGTCCCTCTTCTCCGGCTTCCCCTCGCCGACAGCGGCGGCGCCGGCTTCCGCCGCTCCATTGTCGTCGCGCTCGCTCGCGGCCGCGGGGGCCGCCCGCACGGTCGCCGGGGGCTCCTCCTCCGCTTCAAGCCCGCGCTCCGGAACGTCGGACACTTGCGTGAGGAACACCGTGATCGTTTCCACCTCCGCCCTGTCGGCGCGTTCGGGGCTGCCCGCGGCAGCCAGCGGTGCCTCGCTACCCACGCCATCCTCCGCCCCGGAGGCCCCGCTCGGCGTGACCTCCGACCTACTGACCTCTGACCTCCTGACCTCCGTACGTGTGACCTCCTCTGACCCGTTCACCTCCGTTCTCGTGACGTGCACAGTTCTGTTCTGGACAACGACATCCTCAAGCGTCGTAACTTCCATTGTTGATGTTACTGCTTGCTGCTGCTGCGGCTGTTGCTGATGCTGCAGCTTCTTCTCAAGTTCCTGCTGCTGCTTCTGCTGAAGCTGCTGCTGCTTCTGCTGTTCCTCTTGCTGCTGCTGAAGCTGCTGCTTCTGCTGTTCCTGCTGTTGTTGAATCAGCTTCTGCTGCTGCTGAAGCTGCTTCTGCTGTTCCTGCTGCTGATGAAGCAGCCTCTGCTGCTGCAGAAGCTGATTCTGCTGTTCCTGCTGTTGTTGCAGCTGCTTCTGCTGTTCTTGCTGCTGTTGAAGCAGCTTCTGCTGCTGCTGAATCTGCAGCTGCTTCTGCTGTTCCAGCTGCTGTTGAAGCTGCTTCTGCTGCTCAAGCTCCTGCTGCTGCTGCTGCTGCGACAGCACGCTCCGGTGGCTGCTGGCAAAGTGTGGCACGTACGCGTCGCACTGGACAACCGGATCGAGGTCCGGTTCAGGCACAGCAGGTGGTGGCTTCTCTGGCTCGTTTACCGGGGTTCCTTCGACGATGGACCTGCGATTGTTTACAGACGGGAGGGGGGGGGGCACGAAACAGCAGGAGAGACGGTGCAATTAGTCGGGCTTTAATCGACGACCGGACGAGGGCGTCCACCACGTCACGAGCGTCGTGGAGGCTATTTTGACCGTACTTCACCACGCTGGCTGGGGGGGGGGGGGAATAGTTGGTGAAGGGAGCGTAGATGTGCACTGTGCAGTAAGGGTGCGACGGAAGCAGGAAGGCTTCCTTCACAATGCTGGCAAACCGCCCGAGGAAGCTGGTTGTAATGACCAGCGAGAACGTCACAATACTCGAATAGAAAAATGCTGTGGGTTTCACTCCCCAACACACAACCAATCGGAGTGCTGAAGTAGTAACTAATTGGCACGTTTTGTTTACGTGACAAACCTTACTAATTTGGCTGTGTCGGTTGGTGGTGGTGGTGGGTTTAACGACACATTTATATTTACGCGATCTAACCCATAAAAACCCTTATTTTGAAATTTGAAGGTTGTGAATGTCAAGGTCACACCCTCCTGGTTGCATTTATTTTGCTGTTAACCTGAAGCCACTGCCAGTTTTAAAAGACGTTCGCTCAACATTTAGTGGGTGCAGCGCAGCCATCGAATCAGAATCTTTATTGAGACTGCAAAGGGAATCCGATGAGCCATGAAGCTCTTCATCTCACAGATGTTCCAGTTTCATTTATTAGGATTTACCCTGAGAGTCATTCGGCTCTTGATTTGGGTTCAACCGCAACAAACAATACAATTACAAGATACACCTAAAATTCATTGTACACAAATCTTAACATCACATACGTCAACAATGAAATCCTACATAAAAAGCACAAACCCATCCATGCTGCGTACAAAAAGTGCAAAAATTCCATTTCGATGTTTGATCCCAATAACAATCATAATACGATACAGATAAAAATTTTAAGTATAAATCTATACTAAATCAAAAAAATCGGGCCAAACCAAGCCCCTCAAAAACTTACTAAAACAATGCTATGTAAACAACGTAACAGTTTTTTCCAACAAATGTGATTAAAAGTTTACAATAGCGACACACACAACACACATCGCTAAACCCAGCATCCTTCGCTAGCTGCATAAGTCAATCCATAAGAGCCGGATTAACAATAGCAGTAGCAGCACACTATAATCACAATGCACGATTATTTCATACATCGGTCATCTATAGTGTAAAACAGAGAAAATGGTAAGCAAGTCGCTGAATATGAATTAAATTATACATCTATGCACCATACAACTCTGATTTATCAAGCGTAGTGTCGGCACAGATGCAGAGAAGAGGGGAAGGGGACGCTGAGCAACCTGTAAATATGAAGGGGGATAAAAGCGGTTGAGTTCTACACCGAGACTAACAAACTTAAGAGGATTGGTGTGATCCTAAGAAACTTAAACTTCCCTTTTCTGCATACAAATCGAGTGGCCACCCTACTGCGCTGTACTAACAATGGATTGCGCTGCACTGCCCACAACAACGTAGCCCCCGTAGCCTATAACACCCGTGATGCCACGGCCAAACCACCCGGCCACGCGCCCGACCTTGGCAGATTTTTTTGGCAGCTCAAGCTAAATGAGGAAATAAAAACACACTGATATGGCGTCCCGTGCAAAAACGAGCTTTGCATTTTGGGAGGCGGCTTAGCGGCAATTCCATGTGCCTACGACGGAAACCAGCCTCTCTATATGACGGGTGCGGTGGGGTGGTGGGGGGGTGGGTGTGGGTGGTGGGGGAGGGGGGGTGGGTGGGGGTGGTGGGAGAGGGACTTCACCTGCGCAGGAGAACAAGGGTGGACGCGAGGTTGCGGCAGCCCCTGTGCAGTTCGTCCAGCTTGTGCGGCTCGTCCTTGAGGAACTTCATGGCCTCCACCTCGACGCGCAGGAGCCCTTGCATGCGCGACTGCATCGTCGGGAACTGCCCTGCGGTGCCGGGGAGAACGGAAGAGATGGGGTCAATGGGAGAGAGACGGGAGTGACGTGGGGATCGAGAGAGATGAGAGAGAAGGGGGGAATGGGAGAGACGTGGGGAATGGGAGAGACAGGAGATATGGGGGCACAGAAGAGATGGGGACAATGGGAGAGACGTGGGGAACGGGGGAGACGGGGGAGTTGGGGGGACAGGAGACGGGGAATGGGTTGGGGGTGAGGGTGTGGTTCGGTTGGATGGAGGGAGGGGTTAGGAGGAAGGGTGAACATAGAGAATGGGTACACCGTGAGCTGAACAGAAAAATAATGCCAGAACGGTTACCACATCAGAGGCAACTGAAGAGCATTCTGGAAAAAAAGCTCCGACCAACCCTCACAGTCTCATTGTTGAATATAATTCGATTTAAAAAAGTTGAATTATTAAGGTCACTGTCGGCGGCCATCTGTGGAGAGATAACCCCCCCCCCCCCATCAAAAGTGGACTGCAGAGTGGTCCAATGAAGGGAACATCGTTTTTTCTCTGAAGATATATCCAGGCATACGCTGGAAAAATAGGCGTTTATATTATGGTCCAACTCGCCTCGTAACGTTTTGGCCACACCAGCACCCCTCTAGGGAAGGTTCCCCTATATACGGCTAAATGTTGGGATTGTGGTCTGGCGTTCACGGAGACCGAACGGGTTTATTTATTTTAATGTATTGTCTCTGTGATGATCACTTTCTTGTTATGTGCATTTTTTTCTTGTTGTTTATGTATTCAAATTCTTTCCCCTTTTTTCTGGCAACAAAACTGAAACCTTTTTACGATAAATCACGTCTGCATTAACCACAATACTTGTGGTCAGAATGCAAACAAAAAACATACTCTGATAATATATTGGCATTGTCCTTGAAACTGATTGGTCCACACCAGAGGCAGCTTTCTTTTGAGCCTCGTCTCAAACGGTGTTCGACCAGAGGACGCCAAAAGGCTTACAGCACAAAGAGATTGCGCTGTCAGAGTAATGAGAGCTCGGGGTGAGCATCTACATCATGGGATCTCCTTTGCCAGAACACCGTTTGAGACGAGGCTCAAAAGAAAGCTGTCTCCAGTGTAGACTAATCAGTTTCAAGGACAATGCATATATTATCAGAGTATGTTTTTTGTTTGCTTTGTGACCACAAGCATTGTGGTTAATGCAGACATGATTCCTCGTAAAAAGGTTTCAGTTTTGTTGCCAGAAAAAAAGGGAAAACCCGATTCTTACATTTTGGTACTGGCAAAGGAGACCTCATGATGTAGATTCTTTGGGTCTTTCGGTAAAGTCATGTAGATAGGTTCAAAGAAAATAACAAATAACAAAAAACTACGACGTTTAGATCACAACACAAGCGGTCGTCATAAGGAAAAGGTTTTTTCGAATGTATTAAACTTTTAGTTTTTGATTTGCTAAGTAAGTGGGGGTTTTGTTTTCGCATTGTTTGTGTAAGGGACCGGCTAATTGATGTGCAGCATTGTGAGATGCAATTGCACAAATGACGCTTTACGAAATGAAATTATCATATAAATGTACATGGGTTATCAACCTGCTTCCAGGCCACGCCATTCCATGTTGATCCCCCTTGACAAACTGTCCAAACGTGTTTTCCCCGGCTTTTAATTTACAATTATAATAATTATCTTTCCCCGCTATTCGTTATAATCACGATAATTCCAACTAGTAACACGCCGCACAGTATCCGCTCGCTCTCGGAGAGACGGATCGACGACTCGGAGGCGCGAGGAGCCGCTGACGACTGCCAAAGGCGGCGAGCCGGTGCCAACAATCGCCCAAGCTCAGCGGTCCTTTATATATCGATATGTTTTCAGTCAACGAATGTTCATAACACGTGGGAGGAAACTGGTGTGAAGAGAGAAAACTGTGCGAGGTGGCAATACTCAATCCCACACGGACGGAACAGCTGGGATTCATACTCTTAGTTTTTTCGGTAAAGTAACGTAGGTAAAAAATTAAATTAAAATTAATGAAAATAAAATAATAAAATTCACGACGTTTTGGAGGCAACTCAAGTCTCCGTCATCAGGTGGGACCGTCACAGCCAGATTTGCTGTATCAACCTACGTGACTTTACCGAAAAAACTAAGAGTATGAATCCTTGCAGTCACGAAAGCTTCAAATCTGGAACAGCTGGGAGTTCGCAGCGGCTGTACTGCCTTCCGCTGGCGAGGCAGGGTACAAGGGGGGGCACCTCCTCGACGCGTAGAGCAAGTGAGTTGCATGACGTGAGTGGCGACGACCCACCAACCCCCCACCGCCTCCACGGTTGTCGTGCACGCACACCCCAACTCCCTCCGCGCCGAACGCGGCCAAGAGAACCGGCGCCTCACCCTGCAGCGAGGACGTCTCCTCCTCCAGCTGGCGCAGCAGCTCGCCCCCCTCGTCCACGTCCGCCAGCGAGACGACTCCCGGCAGCGACGCCCTCGAGCGCAGCGTCTCCACGGCCTCCTCCAGCTCGCTGTCGCGGTCACGGCGGGCGGCGGTGGAGGGTGGGGGGGAGTGGAGGGGTGCGGGAGGTGGGGGCAGAGGGGGGGGTCGAGAGTAGCACCGCGATTAGTCTGCGTCGTTTGTGCGGCCCGACCAGGGCGAGCTGGGACGATAATTGGCGCGGCGATAAGCGGTCATGCCGATCAATTTTGTTTGGCTGCTTCGGGTGGCGGAGGGCTCATGCCGACAAGAGAGTTGGTCAGAATCATCCGGTGGCCTGACCCACAAACCAACAATGCATCGTGCCGCCCCTGCAGCGCCGACGAGTTGACCTATCATGAAAGATGTTCAAACACCAAATAGGCACTTATCACAAGGCGTTACACGTCTGCATTAACCAACACATGAGCCTTATGGCAGGAGCCCGGGGTCCCATAAGTCCCCGGCTCTCGCATAAACATTATATTAGAATGTAAACTAAAACTTTGCTCTTCTTGAGCAATGGGTTTGAAGGATGGTGGCAAGTATTGTCTTGCTAAACTATGCCTTTAAAACTGAAAACTACTTACCTGCAGTACCTCTATTTAAGTACACTATCGACAAAATCATTTACACCCCTCGGTCAATCATCGTGTTTCTCAGTGTGGATTTGTGAACACACTTTGTAAACAGTACGTAAAATAGTATGCGTTTTCAATGCGCTGTTCATATTGTAACAAGCGTTTATACTAATGTTACTCTACAGAGTAGTGGGTCGCCGCTCCTCTTATCCGCATTGATACGAGCGGTATGTGGGGACTACGGCTTAACCGCAAAAAAAAACCTATCAGCACAGATGCATACGGACAAGAGAAGTATTATCAAACAGGAGGAATTAACGGTGCAACGCATCTCATCTGTTAAATATCTGCAGGTAATAGGATTGTCATCGATTGATCCTGGCTGCAGACATTGGTAGGTAACGGATAATAATGAAGATAAGAGAGCCGTTTCACTGTATTATTTATACCGTCATGACAGATAAAGGACTTAATTCGTGTCGGCAGTTTGAGCAGCTTTGGATAAGACTTGCCCATACCCGAGCATGGAGGGCATTCTCTTGTTCAGCTCTTCTGCCCATTCGTCCTCGCTGCTCCGCTTGGACATGACATGACAACAAAATGATCCGGGCCAGGTGGGTCACGGCGTTTATGTGCGCGGTGGGATGGAGTCGCCAAAAATAAATTAATAACGATTTTGACTTCCATTTATTCGGGACCCCGGGATCCCGCCATAAGGTTCACTGCTTGTGGTAAAACATGGCAACGTTTGGGCGTTTGAACATCTTAACACCTCATGTATTCTTGCCGGAAAGGGTAAAGCCTATTTTGTTTATCATCTTCTTGATATACCGGCAAAAGGGGGGGAAGGGGGGGGGGTTTCTCCCAAAGAATAGAATTCCGTGGGCTCGTTCGTCGGTCGTGCCACTTCAACTAAAGGATCGAGAGCAGCCCAAGGAGGAGTGCCCCATTATCGCCACCCTGGCTCGGTGTCAAAGTCGGCCGCCGCTGAAGCCAGCCCATGTAACACGTGAACATTGAAAATGTGTACGTATGTATGTGCGTTTGTATGTGTGTGTGTGTATGTGTGCATGTAAAATGCAGCAAGTTGGCAGAGTAGGGGGGTACAGCTGGTGCATCTACCAGTCATCTCAGTCAGCCAAGCCAAGGCACCTGCTGGGTCTGTCCCGTGACCTTCTGCCAGTGAGCCTTCGACACTTCACGTGGCCTCAAAGTGCACCTGGCCTGGCACAGGCGCCGTGGTGACGTCAACGTCACTTAGTGGTAAATGGCGGTTATTGGTGTATGTTAAATTTCGGAATTATCTGGAACTCTGGAATAATCGGGAACGGGTGTGGGACTTAAAAGCTTTCTAGCGGTGGGAGTGGGGGGAGGAGGGGATTGGCAATGGATGGGGTTGGGGGGGCCCATATTTGTGTGTGTGTGTGTTGAATTTGTTTCGCACCATATGTAGCCAACTGTGCTAATCGGAGGTGCGGGGGAGGGGGACAACATACGGAAACACAAAAGCAGTTCGAGAAAAATTAGTTTTCTATCTTGATTTAAAAGTGCATAGCTCCCAGTGGCTTCCTAATATGGGAAGGAAGAGCGTTCCAGACGGCCGCAGAAGCGCATCTGAAAGCACCGCGCGATGCGGTGACCATCTTTGTTAGATGGCGAGACAAAAAGAGCCGCTGCTGCGATGATGACCGGAGTTCACGTGATGGTTTATGCTCCCTGACAAGATCATCAAGGTATTGTGGTTCATTTGTGGCAAGCAATGTGTGTATAATGAGGGTGCCCTTATAATGCAGAGTGCCATCGTTTTGTTTTAAACGGCTGGGTGTGACCCATTGCTTTGCAGGTGAAGTTAGTAGATTGGCCACAATTCACGAGTGTGTGTGTCTGAAGTGGCCTCAAAGTGCACCTAGCCTGGCACAAGCGCTATGGTGACGTCACCGCCACTTGGTGGAGAATGGCGGCTGCTGTTGTTTTGTGTGACGATTGTTTGAGCCGTTCCTGGGCTTCCCCTAGGGTTACTCAGCCTCAAATGAGTATCAGTTGTGGTGTGTAAACATCATCATCATCATTCAGGAGACAAAGGGGGCGTGGTGCTGGCCACTCACCCCCTCGTGCACCGTGCCGGCCTTGACAGGTGCTCGCTAACAGCACTTTCCCCAAAAGTCTGTTAAGGCTATACGGGGCGACTTTGTCTTTGTTTTGTGACTGCCACAGGATATGCTGTTGGGTCCTCTTAGTCATGTAAGCTGCCACTCCCACCAGCGACGTGAGGAAATGTTACGGTGCAGGGTTAGGGGATGCCAGCAGTCTGGGAATTGGCATCGGTGTTCAGGTGGCAGGAAATTCATTTGTGCTGGTATTGTAGAGATCTGGTGCCGGTATTATTTTTTTCATTCTAGATTTGAAGCTTTCGTGACTGCAATGATTCATATCCTTAGGTTTTTTTCGGTAAAGTCACGTAGGTAAAAACATTAAAAAGTAAAAAAAAATAAAAATCACGACGTTTCGGAGGCAACACAAGCTTCCGTCTTCAGGTGGTACCGTCACAGCCACGACAGCTGTATCAAGTAAATGAGAGATTTCAGGAGTTACCACTGCGTTTATATAATGGTTGGAGAAGGTGGTGGGGCAGTGACCTTTACAGCTATCACAGACCTAAGCCGTCTCAGAAACATGGTGCTGTATGGTCTGCAGTGAAAAAGGTGTGGAGACCCTAAATTCGAGTCAAGTTTATATTTTACTGGTATTATATTTGCTGTTTATGACGGCAGGGGCGTGTACAGTTTCGCTCACTCCATTAGCCTGAATATAACAATTGCACATTATTACCAATAATTATCAAGTATCACGAACAATGGATCCCCGGATCGCAAGCCGACGCGTGTATCAGTCGGCTTAGAGGACAATTAAACAATAAAATTGAATAGATGAATCGATGTATCATTACACGCCTGGTAGCTATGGCAGACAGTACGGCAAATGGGCGACTGGCCCAACTACACCTATTTTCTGTGGCAGGCACTTGCGAATAAAGATAAATATAATTATTATTATTGTGGAAATTGGTCACCAGCATTGGCGCAGCTCCACCATCGTGAACCGGGTATTTAAAACTGGACGTCATGATTCTTTGGTTCTTTCGGTTAAGTCACGTCTAAAGATAAAATAATAAATTAAAATAATAGCATATTACAACGTCTCGATTGCAACACAAGCAATCATCATCAGGCATAAAAGAAATAGCAACAAAAATCTAACTAGAAAACTATAGACAGACATCTAGTTAGATTTTTGTTGCTATTTCTTTTATGCCTGATGATGATTGCTTGTGTTGCAATCGAAACGTCGTAATATGCTATTATTTAATTTATTAATTTATCTTTAGACGTGACTTAACCGAAAGAACCAAAGAATAATTCCTGCAGTCACGAAAGCTCCAAAACTAAGATTGGACGCTATGAGTTTAGGGCGGGAGCCGCTGGATGAATCTCACCAACGAGAGAGTCCAAATCGCGGTGATGGCATCGGCTCGGCCCGTCGTCCATCGACGAGTCAACAGCGGCTGGTCAATGGAGAGACCACGCCCGGTAATTGTAACGTGGAATTTGCTGCCGATGGGCGGTGATGTGCACTGCCCAATGCTCAATTGAGCATGTGAAGAAACTATGTGATCCACACGCCTTTTGTCTGGGGGCCAGTGACCGCTCAGTGAACTAGTAGGCATGTAACAATTCCTCATCCTCCAATTCACTGTCACGATTCTACAACACGTTTCTTTGAAAGTTTTTGCCTCATTTTAAATGTTTTTCCAACTGATGTTGAAAGCGTCAAGGCTTCAGCGCTGTCTGTGCGCCCGTAGGGACAGGGCACTGTGCCTCTCGCAGAGATGATCCGACGCAAATTAAATTCGAGTGTCATCTTTGTTTTGCTGTTGGGGACTTTTCAGACAGATAGAAAAAAAATGGAAAATTCATCAAAGGGTTATTGCCCAAGAGCTCAGTGAAGAATAACTATTGTTAAATACTAACACTATTTTTGTTTCAACAGGTAAGGCCCATTGAGCTATGTAGCTCTTTTTCAGAAACGACCTGGCAATCAATAACGACAGCTCAACAAAGTGGCTTATCACGAGGACATTGATAGCAGCGAAATAGTCTAAATTGCATGTTGATTCTAAATGTGGAGGGGAAAAATCCGGAGAATTCGGAGAAAAATCCATGCCAACACAGGACGAGAGAGACATGCAAACTCCAAATATACAAGCAGGCATCAGGGTCGGGATCGAACCCACGACCTCCTGTATACCAGGTGAGGTAGTAAACATCTCGCCATCGCGGCACCCAAATATACCTGCAGCTTCGCCCATCATGACGAGGGCAAAGTGTGGCCAAATAAAACAGCTGCACGAAGAGACGACACTCGCCAAAAACGGGCTTTCGCGCTCATTACGGTTTAATTTCCCTAATCCAATGATGTCACTGTAATTGGATGGCAATCCTTTGCAACACGATGGGGGTAACGCGAGCGCCCTTCTCGTCATCCGATCGCACCGCTGTATCAGCGCGCACGACCGACAAGCGCTCACAATCTCATTCCCAGCGCGTAACACGTGCATGGCAAAAATAGCTCTCTCCTATTTTAATTAAAATATCAAATCACTGAACCAATTGCCATAGTTAAACCTTACTGCTGAGCATGCCAACGCTGTATTTTTTTTCTCACGATTAGATTTCAGTTGGAGCCCGGTACAGAGCACAAACCGCGGCGTTTGCCGGGGTACAGAAACTCTGCGGACAGAATTCCCCAACGCTGTGGCCCCGAGTTTAGAGGAGGGGGACATTGGGCTCGCTGCTGCCCCACCGAGTGGGAAGCGGAAGGCGAGGGAAGAGGACCTTCAGGGAGTAGAGGGAGCGGCGTTACATGCGTAATAAAAAAACATCACAATATAGCGTGAATATATGCATCGCCTATGACCCACTCATCTGGAATGTGCCCGCTTTCCTTAGATCTCGGTAGCCAAGCAGCCTTGGGCCCTGCGTGGGTGACCATCGTGCACAACAGGTGCTACGGGGCTGCTGACAAGCTACGTGGTGAAGCTAAATCCCTCGTTTCACTGTACATCTATGGGTCCCGCCTTCACCAACCCCGCGCTGAGCGAACGTGGTGAAGTATGGTCACGTAGCCTCCACCACCCGCATGGCAGGAGGAGGTTTCTCATCCAGCAGTGGAGTGGATGCATGCATGTGCTGCGGTAATACCCAAGCCTAAAGCCAAGACGAAGTACAGTCGTTTATTGGCAGTGACAAGAGATGGCAGAGAGGAGGGAATGTATGCAGATTGAACAGAAGTCATTGGCAGTTAAGCACAGGTGCCCGAGGCAGATGCCGAGGATTTGCATGGCAAGACGGGGTAAGCAATGCAGCTGTCCGGAGGAGAATGTGCCAGCTGAGTGCGGTGGATGTGATTCGGAAAAACTGCTGCGCTTGTATGCATGCAGAACTTCTTTCGGGTCGTAAGTAGCCAAACGTGCCAATCGTGAGACACGTTTGCAGGATGGGGGGGGGGGGGAGGACAGGTTAGTGGGAACTTCTTAAACGTAAAACGAAACTAGTTTATTCACCAAGTAAAGCCCACCGAGCTGTTAGCTGATTTTAGCGGCGACCTGCCCACAGACGATGGCTCATCGAAGCGGCCGATAATCATCACATCTCACGTGGGATTTGTTTTTATAGCAGCAGCCAAGTAATCTAAACGCACGTTCCTAAATGTGGAGGGGAAAACCGGAGGACCCGTTCAAAAGTCCACACAACCACCACAGGGAGAACGTGCAAACTCGGATATAGAGGCAACATCAGGGTTGGGATCGAACCCGCAACCTCCTGCATACCAGGCGAGGGAGATAACATCTCCTCGCCCCCGTGGAGTGGTCTCCACGAGGTCCAGGAGCACGGGGGGCGGGGTGATATCGTGAGGGCAGATCCCCGAGGTGGCCGCGTGTCTCTACTGCGGAGCGTGTCTCTATTGTGCAGCGAATGCGGGACATGGCGGCGGGTAGCTGGCAGCGAGGTGGTGGTTGGTGGTTGTTTGTCGATCGGTGGTGTCGCGGTCAGCGCGCTGCGCTAAGAAACCCGGCAAACCCGAGTTCGATTCCCCCTCACGGCCATCGCCAGTGACGATCATCTGAAGCGGTCCTGGCCTCCCAGCAGGTACTCAGCCTCAAATGAGTAGCTGGTGACGATTTGTCAACATCACCGCCGGATGTGGTGTTGGCCACCCACCCACCCACCTCATGCGCTGTGTTGGCCTTCATAGGTGCTACCCGCTAACAGCACTTGCCCCAACAGTCTCTGTTACAGGCCATACAGGAGAGGGGAGGGGGATCTTTGTTACGAACCCGGCACCCCGGGATTCCCCCGGGCCGGCCCTACCTGAGGCGGTGCTGTGCCGCACGCTGCCTCTCCACGTACGCCTGCCGCTCCTCCTCGGCCTGCACACGCAGCCTGCGAGCGGGCTCGTCCCGCGCGGCCCGCGCCACCTCGCCCGCCAGGCGGCCCGCGATCTCCTGCCGCACGGACGCGACCGTGGCCTGCCACGCCGCCCGCTGGCTCAGCTGCATCGCGCGGACCGAGGGAGACACAGAGAGAGGACGCCACGCCGTCATGCTCCTGCTGCCGCCACTGCTGTTATTCATACTGAACGGTTATTTTTTGGGTTAGATCGCGTAAATATAAATGTGTCATTATCCCACCACCACCCAACGCAGCCAACTGGTAAGGTTTGTCACGTAACCAAAACGTGCCAATTAGTCAACACTTCAGCACACCGGTGCGTTGGAGAGTAAGTTCACATTTACAATTTGAGTACGGTGACGTTTCGCTGGCAATTACATCCAGCATCATAAGGCGATTTTGCCAGAATTTGATTACGAATAATATTGATTGTAAAAGCCTACGTGCTCAACTGTTGCTGTAATTGTTAGTGGCACTTGATTGATCGTATTTAATACCTTTGATGAAGGTGAGTAACATAAAAAAAGGTTTTTTGCAAAGATACTGTTGAGAAGGCAGGAGGCTTACAGGCGATAAGGAATGGGTGACCGCGACAGAGGGTGGGCGTTGGGGCTTAGGAAAGGGTAAGGGAGGGATGGAAAGAAGTGGAGGGGCGGGGGGAGGGAAGAGGAATATGATGGGCAATGGAGAAGAGGCGAGCTTTAAGATTTCCATTTTCTAGCTATTGTCACCAGTGTCACCAATGTCACCAGTGTCACAAATGTCACCAATATCTCCAATGTCACCAATGTCACCAATGTCACCAATATCTCCGGTGCCGCGAGTGTCACCTGCAAGCGGCGGATCTCCTGCAGCTCGGCACGCAGCTGGGCGATGCCTCCGTGCAGCCGCGATGCCGTGGCGCGGGCCTCCTGCCCGGACTTGTCTCTGCCACGCATGGCCCTTGCTGTTCTGCCGCCAAACGCTGGGGAACCGAAGCAAACCCAGCAGAGATAACGCAGTGGCAGCAGCAGCAGCGGCAGCAGCAGTGGCGTGGGTGGCAGCAGTAGCAACAGCGGCAGTAGCAGTGGTGGTAGCAGCGGCAGCAGCAGAAGTAGCAGCAGGGGCGAGCAAGTAACTGCGTTAATACACAGAACCAGACGCGGGAGCGCAAGTGAATTACCTATAAATGTGTGGGCTTGTACACAACCTCGCTCGCTCGCTCACACACACGGCACAGCATTGTTATTGCGGTTGTGCGCCTGTGGTTCAGATCGGCAACTACAAACACGTTACGGCACTAAACATTTCAAACGTGTGCCTACCACTAGCCTTGAGCACAGGCGCCCACTTCCACATACAGAAGCACGCACAACGGACAAAGATCCCCCGTAAAGCCTTAACAGACTGTTGGGGAAAGTGCTGTTAACGAGAACCTATGAAGGCTGGAACAGTACACGAGGGGGTGGGTGGCCAGCATCACGCCCGGCCGCCTTTGTCTCCCCAGTAGGGATGCTCAAACACCGCACCAGGTACTCATTTGAGGCTAAGTCGACCTAGGGGAGACCCAAGAGCTCTTCAGATAATTGTCACTGGTCTTGGTGGCCGTGTGTAGGAATCGAACTTAGGTCGCCAGTTTCATACCGCAGTGTGCTAACCACTACACTACCGCTCCCATGACGCACGCACGCTCATACACAGATATTCACATTCACACTCAAATGTGTGTGTAAACTTCGCACTAGGAAGATAAAGGTGGCTGGGCGTTGTGCTGGCCACCCACCCCCTTGTGTGCTAAACTGGCCTTCATGGGTGTTACTAATAGCACTTGCCTCGAAAAGTATGTTAAGGCTATAACAGGGGATCGTTGTCTTTGTGTGCCACAGCAATGGTGTACGGTTTCAACGGGATCTACATCTCTACTTAACTGACCTGGTCAGGCCTATGATACCATCAACAAGCCTGGGCTTTGGGTTGTTCTTCGTGCTTTTGGGGGTCCCTGACCCCCTGCTCAGAATCATTGAGGGGACCTTCATGATGCTGGGCAGGCCCAGGTAAAAGTTGCGTGGCTGGGAGTCAAAGCCATTTATGTTCACCTTGGGATACGACAGGGGTGCCCTCTGACTCCGACATTGCTGAACATATTTTTGACCATATAGCTTGATAGGCTATCCATGGCTGTACCAAAGAAATTTCTATTTATTACAGATACAATGGGAGGCTGATAGATGCCCGGGTGCAGTCAAGGCATGTCTCCCTTATGGTCCTACCAGATTATGTATGCTGATAATCTGGTAATTGCTCCTCACTCTGACGAGTTGGAGACTCTACTGTTGAACGTGCGCCTACCACTCCCAAAAAGAGATGCGCCTTACCATCAGCCCCACAAAAATACAATGGCCCTCCCTGGGTATTTGGTGTCATCACATGCCCCACCCTCTCAACTCTCCATGAGTAATGGGGCAGTTGTGGAGAGAGTTGAGAAGTTTCATACCTGGGTAGTGTGCTTATGGCTAGCTCCGGTTTGGCAGCAAAGGTATCACTCTGAATCAGTTGGGCGGCATTATGTTTTCATCAGCTGTGCAACATTATGTGGAAGCTACGTGGCCTATCACTCCATATGAAGCTCCCGTTCTTCTTGGCCACAGTGATGCCCTCTCTTCTCTAAGCTTGCGCAACATGGGCCCCTCTAAAATAAACATATCCGCCGCTTTGAAACGTTCAGGCTGGCTTGCCTACAATCTATCCGAGGTTTACTCAGACTGAATTGTGTGAGCTCACAGATCCTTGCAAAATCTGGACAGTCCCATCAGAGAGCTCCTCCAGCAAGCGAGGTTGCATCATGTAGCTCGCATGCCCATTCACAGCATGCCCAAGCAGCTTCTGTTTTGCTGGATAGAGGGGGCTAAACGGGTGCGGCATGGGCTGAAGATATGGGCCGATGTTATACTGGAGGATATGGAGCTGAGTGGACTTTCCAATGACTGAAATCAGTGGTATCAAGATCGGCCTCTGTGGAGGAGGATCGTGAAGGAAGCTACTGGGCAGTTGGAGGCAGTCACCCTCCAACAACGGCGGAGGGCAGAGGAGCGACACTCACAACAACGAGAGAAGCGCTGGGCGGCTAAAACACAGCAAGTTGGCCCAGTAGGGGGCACAGCTGGTGCATCTGCCAGTCATCTCAGTCATTCTACCCATAAGTCTGTCCCGTGACTTCTTGCCAGTGAACCTTATACACTGTAACGTGGCCTCAAGGTGCACCTGGCCTGATACACGTGTCGTGGTGATGTCACCGCCACCTAGTGGCGAACGGCAGTTGTTGTTGTCGTGAGCTCGTGAGCTTGTGCACATGCGCTTGGGTCAAGCATTGTGCGAGTGGGTCGGCATTTCGGTGTGCGAGTGTGTCGGCATTTCGGTGTGCGAGTGTTAAGCATGCGAGTGTTGTGTCACCACGCGGGGGTGTTTGTGTGAGTCTGCGTGGGCGAGAGCGAGTTGGGCGTTGCGTCCCGCACATGCGCGTGGGCGAGAAGGCATCCAAGGGAGTGGCGTTCGGACCGCAGGGTGGCATGTTCCATCCTGCCTCCACTGCGTTGTCCACAGCCCTTAAATTATCCCCACCCACCCACCCACCACCCAACCCTCCCTCATTCACGATGGTACAACTTATATGATTAGTACGTTCGCCTCAACTTCACAATCTAAACTAAAAACATTTTTTTTATTTTACCCGATAAGGCCCACTGAGTTACAAAGCCATTTTTCAGAAGCGACCTGGCAACAAATGATAGCTCACCCACGTGGCTTATCACGTGGACATATTTCGCAGCCAAACACTCTAAAAACCGGAGAAAAAAATTCACGTGACCACGGGGAAAACGTGCAAACCTCAAATATATTAGGCGTCAGGGTCGAGATCGAACCCACGACCTCCTGTATACCAAGCAAGGTAGTCAACATCTGACCACTGTGGCTCGCTTGTATCAGACGCACACGGCCCATCTTGATGTCTTGTGCAAATAATCCCAGGCGTTCCGAACGTCTGACTCAAGCCGATGTGAGGCGAGGCTTCGCGTTATCGGGTCAAGGTGGAATGAATTACGCGTACGGAATAACATGTAGGAATTTAAAAGAAAACGCACTAGCATTTCGATTCTTTCTGTAACTCTCTCTGGGTTTCGGTTGAACACTTTCCATAACAAACTGGCTGAGATTTTGCAGCAGCATTCCTTTAACCACCGAGATACGCCATTTATTATTATTACACGATTTTATTCAACTCATTCCGTCTGTTGTATCCTCCAAAAAAAAAATCTTGTAACTCAAATTTTACCCACTTCCCAATGTGCTATCGACTGCAAACTTGAAATGCCTATGTCATACCGATGACAGGACTATATTCTATCATAAAAAAAAATCCAAAACACATTTTTTTAACATTTATACGTCGAGGGGCGGGGCATGTGGAAGGAGGGGAGGGGCGATGGAGGAAGGGGGCAGGGGGAGGGGCAGCTCGGACAGTATATTTCATTAAAGCGTGTTTTTTAAAAAAGTATTTTAAAATATTGTTTTCACATAGCTCTCTCGACAATACTGCAAATGGCACAACACCGATTAAGCTCCGAGTCCTGTCTTAGCAAAACGAAGTTTTCTTTGCGATTTTGGTAAATCGGGGAGCTCATGCCGCCCCCCCCGTCACCCACTCCACCCGTGGTGGATTCCGTATAGGCCGATTCAACAAAGTGAATCCAGCCCTAAATCTTCACTGCCGTTTTGGTAAAAAAAAAGTTCAACATATTCCAATCAGGTTTGCTTAAAACACATTTGCATGGATTATTGCAGATTCCGAGCAAGAGATTTTCATCGGCATCTCCAACAATCGTGCGCGCACGTGACAACACGTCTGTTAGCGTCTCGGCAATCGGTGTCAGCACACAGTCGGGAGGCCAAGACATCTGGAAGAAAGAGCTTCGTGGCCGATTCTAATAAGCAGAGGTGGGACAAAGTCATTGTTATGCAAGTCCAAGTCGAGTCTGAAGTCATCAAATTCATGACTCGAGTCTGACTCGAGTCCAAGTCAAGTCGAGTCTGAAGTCATCAAATTCATGACTCGAGTCTGACTCGAGTCCAAGTCACATGACTCGAGTCCACACCAGGTGTGGACTTTGTCCACCTGGTGGGACAAAGTCATTGTTATGCAAGTCCAAGTCGAGTCTGAAGTCATCAAATTCATGACTCGAGTCTGACTCGAGTCCAAGTCACATGACTCGAGTCCACACCAGGTGTGGACTTTGTCCACCTGGTGGGACAAAGTCATTGTTATGCAAGTCCAAGTCGAGTCTGAAGTCATCAAATTCATGACTCGAGTCTGACTCGAGTCCAAGTCACATGACTCGAGTCCACACCAGGTGTGGACTTTGTCCACCTGGTGGGACAAAGTCATTGTTATGCAAGTCCAAGTCGAGTCTGAAGTCATCAAATTCATGACTCGAGTCTGACTCGAGTCCAAGTCACATGACTCGAGTCCACACCTCTGCTAATAAGTGGCAGTGACCTTTCAGCCGAGTGACTCCTGTACTTTATCAGAGGCAAGCGGTGGCAGCATTTTTATTTTACTCTTTAAAAACATTTTCCTGCCGTGCACAGGGCCCACGAAGGCCCAGGACGTCAGGCTGCCAGCAACAAAACAGTTCTGTTAAAGCTGTAATAATCGACAAAGTTCACGCGTATTTATTGAATTGAGCAAGACCTTTTTACGGGCAAGGAGCCTCCCTGTTCGATATGGGTCCTAATTCGACACAACGACATTAATACACGACAACAAATAATTAATGAGCGGCTCGGTGGAGAGAATAACAAAATATATTCGCAGAGAATATATATGTGGAGATACCTACGGCATTATGCTGTGCTGTGGGCCCAGCGGTACAATCAAATCTTGCTTACCCAGACAAAGTGAGCAGATTCGAGACAGAAGGCAGCCAAAAC